GAAAACCAATGCTAATTAGAAAAGTAGGTGTTTGTGTCTTTTATGTTACTTAGTAGGGGATATTTAAAAGTCCTTTTAAGTTTAGTCATTTTTCCTCCTTAATCCTATGAACAGCTAATTAAGGACATGTGTCCAGGTAGTACAGTTTGTTAGCATTTGCTGAGCATTTGACAGCTGTTTCCTAGTATTTTCTATATGTACCTAGTCAGTCTTAAAAGAAAGATATGCAAAATTGAAATCCAAATTTTATCTTTTCCTTCTTAGAATTTTTATCCTTTCTTTCCTTCTCTCGATATTTTTTAGAGCTGCCTTTAATCCAACCAGTAGCAGAACGCTACATTTGGTATCTAGAGCCATGGTTCTCGGGCCACGATGGTCGATAAACAAAAAGCCGGCGACGATGAAGGAGGTTCTAGGAATTTGGAACATCAAATTCAAGCATTTATCGATACCTCTAACAGGCGTATGGAGACAATGGAGGATATACAGAGAAATATAGACGCACGTCTTCAAGAGTGCTCAAACTCGATTATGGACATGAATAGGCAATAGGAAGGTCGGAATATGAGCAGATCTTTCATGGCAGTAGCTCAGGGAAGCTCTTACGTTGAAAGCAGTCAATCTTCTGTTGGAGGAGCTTTCAGGTCAAGTTCGACGCCGATTACTGTGGTACATGCTACCACCACCAACTTGCCTTTGTCTACATATTCAGTGGCTTCGACTCCAGTAACCCCAATAAACGCTAATGTCAGTCAAAATTTAATTTTTCCCTCTACCATCCAAAATATTCACCGTATCGGCATGACCTCACCTGGGAATGAATCATTTTCTTTTGCCCTGATGAACCCATACTTTTCACACAATATTCAAGTACCCCAGCTAGCACTTGCTTTTAGGCTTTCTCGGCAGTTACTTGGGCCTTTAGCCCCTATGGGACCTTTGTATAATGTTCACACTACCCTTACACCGCCCACGATAGAAATACCTACGACCTATGGGCTTTTCACTCCTGGCTCCACTTCATCACACATGTACTCATCTACTCATGCACCCTCGTTTGCTTAGACACCATATACCACACACTTGCCATCACATTACACAAACCCAACCTTTTCCCCCCCACATTATACAACTTCAGGCCATTTATCCCATCAGTTTCCCCCCACAAATTATTTTTTTCCCCAAAACGTTTCCTACCCTGTTAATACCCAGCCTCCCCTTCGCATGCCTAAAGCAAAACTCGCTTTCCCAGAATTTGATGGTAATAATACACGTGGTTGGATTAGACGTTGCAATAATTTTTTAAATTTATACAAGGTGCCGGAGGCAGAGAATATGACTTATATTGCAATCAATATTCGGGATCAAATTGACTATTGGTATGATCCTTACATGATTGATAATGGGGGTCAGGTATCTTGGGCTCAGTTTTGTTTTGATATCTGTCAACTTTATGGCTAGGCCGAGCCTTTTGATGTGGTGATTGAATTCAATAGGCTCCATCAAGTGACAGATGTGGAGACTTATCAAAAAGAAATTGAGGCACTAAGAGGCCCTGTCCTGTTAGCTAGGTCTTATTTCGATGAAGTTTATTTTATTACTTGTTTTATAGGTGGGCTAAAGCTAGATTTGGGCCCAATGTTGAAAGTAGCCAATGTCCCAACCCTTTTGAAAACTTATGCCATGCTAAGCTTTATGAACAGTCCTTAAGTGCCCAATCCAAAAATAATATTACCAAAGTACCCAACAGACCCAATCACTTCAGCTATAACTCTAAACTTTCACTACCTTCCTCCAGTAAAATTACCTCAGCAATAAATCCTAAAGTTCTAGGACTAAAGGACCCTAGTATTGAGACTTTAAGGGAGCACAATTTGTGTTACAAATGTCATGATCACTATTTTCCTGGCCATCAATGCAAAAACAAAGCACTGAATACAATGGAAGGGGAAGAACAACAATATGAAAGGGTAGATGAGGATGAAGTCTTCGAAGAAGCAATTGGGGAGGAGGAAATACAGGGGGAGGTGACATTGGCAATGATGTTGGGAGGAAGCCAATCATCAACCACAATCAAAATCCAAGGGCTGGTCAAGAAGTTCCTTGTGACGATACTCATTGATAGCGGAGCAACCCACAGCTTTGTGTATCCCGATATCGTCAAACAACTACACCTTCTAACAGAACCTATTGGTAGGCCCATGAAGGTTAGAGTGGCAAGTGATCGATTGATGCCTTTCAATTACAAATGCCCAAGGTTCTCTTGGACCATGGGTAATGAAGCTTTCTTGTTTGATTTATCCTTGTTGAAAGCTGGGGGCAGTGACATAATTCTTGGCATGGATTGGATTGATATTGTAACTCCTATTGCATTGCACACACGCCCTCACATTATATAATTTTTAGAGGTGATAAATTGGTTACTATAATGGGGATTGAGAGCATGGGAGAATTAAAGGAAGGAGATGTCAAATCCATTGAAAAATTACTGGGCATGGGCCACTGCTGCTTGTCAGCCCAATTAGTAGCAGTAACAACAGAAGAAGATCCTCAGAAGAGCCCGACCCAAATTCGTAAGTTGCTTGGACAATTTGTAAATATCTTCAAAGAATCTAAAGACCTTCCTCCTTCGAGGACTTATGACCGCACCATTGAACTTATACCGGGTTCTAAACTAGTTAACCAAAGGCCATATAGATACTCTTATGAGCAGAAGAACATCATTGAGAAGATGGTGAGGGATATGTTAGAGGCCCAGACTGTGACAACAAGCATATCACCGTTTGCTGCACCTGTAAATTTGGTGAAAAAGAAGGATTCAACTTGGCGATTCTGTGTTGACTATCGCAAGTTGAACTAGATAACAATGAAGAACAAATACCTAATTCAGGTGGTGGAGGAGTTGCTTGATGAATTACATGGTGCCCGATTCTTTTCCAAAATCGATCTTCGATCCGAGTACCATCAAATACGGATGCAAAAAGGGGACGAGTTCAAAATAGCTTTCAAAACTCATCACGGACTGTGCGAGTTTAGAGTAATGCCCTTCGATCTTACTAACGCCCCGACAACTTTTCAGGCGTTAATGCATAAAATTTTTAGTCCTTACCTCCAGAAGTTTGTCTCGGTGTTTTTTGATGATATACTAATTTACAGTGTGTCACTCAAAAACCATGTCGAGCATTTAAGGGTGGTGTTTGAAGTGTTGCAAAACAATCAGTTGTTTGCCAAACAATCGAAGTGTAGCTTTGCAAAAAAATCAAGTTGAATACTTGGGTCACATTATTTCAGGCTCGGGTGTAAGTATTGATTTGTCCAAAGTCGATGTAATGGTGAATTGGCCCTGCCCTGTTAACATCAAAGGCTTGAGGGGATTCCTGGGACTCACTGGTTACTACCGACGCTTTATTAAAAAATTTGCCTTGATAAGTAAACCGTTGACTGAGTTGCTTAAAAAGGGGGATTTTTTGTGGAATGGCAAGGCTACAGCAGCATTCGATGAATTGAAGAATGCAATGGTGCACGCCTTAATATTAGCTTTGCCTGATTTTTCTATTCCATTTATGGTGGAAGTTGAAGCTAGTGGCGTGGGAGAAGGGGCAGTTCTTATGCAGAATCATAGGGCTATTTCTTTCATCAGTCAAGCCTTGAGTCCTAAACATCTGAGCATGTCAACTTATGAGAAAGAGCTTACAACTTTATTAATAGCAGTTGATAAATGGAGACATTTTTGCAGCCCAACCATTTTATAATTAGAATTGACCACTTCAGCCTAAAATTCTTAAATGATCAACGAGTAACTTCAGCTCTGCAACATAAGGGGATCTCCAAACTTATGGGCCTAAGTTATGAGATACATTACAAGAAATGGGCTGATAATGTCGTTGCAGATGCTTTGTCCAGAAGATTTGAGGGCCAGGAAGAATGCAATGTGCTTACTGTTGTCCAGCCCAAATGGGTCCAAGAAGTGGTTGAAAGTTTTGATGGGGATGCAGAAGCTCAAAACATTATTGAACAATTAAGCATGGATGTTGGGGCTATTCCAAATACAACACTACAACATGGAGTGATCAGATTCAATGAGCAAGTTTGGATTGGTAAAAATGGGGAACTAAGAAAGAAGGTAATGAAACAAATGCATTCAACCCCATGGGGTGGACATTCAGGAATCACTGCAACTCAAAAAAGAGCAAGATCCATTTTTACTGGCCTACATTACTGAAAGATGTCAAAGAGATGGTGCAGGCTTGTGTTATTTTTCAAAGAAACAAGGGAGAACATGTCTGTTATCCGGGGTTGTTACAGCCATTGCCCATTCCGTGCCGGGCGTGGGAACACCTGACAATGGATTTCATCGAAGGATTACCTAGATCACATGGAAATGACACCATTCTGCTTGTCATCGACAGGTTCACAAAATATGCTCATTTGTTCACATTATCCCATCCTTATGATGCACCACAGGTAGCTCGAATTTTTCTGGACAAAATATGTAAATTACACAGGGTTTCCAGTTCTATCCTTTCGGATAAGGATCCAATTTTTACTAGTTTGTTTTTGAAGGAGCTATTCAAAGGACTACAGGTGGAACAGAGGTTGAGTACAACCTATCATCCTCAAATCTATGGACAGTTCGAAAGGTTGAACCAATGTGTTGAGACATACCTTAAGTATATGACCAGGCATAAACCACGAGATTGGAGCAGGTGGATACCTATGGCAGAATTGTGGTACAATACAAATTATTAGTCCACCATCAGAATGACTCCCTTTAAGGCACTTTACAGCTACGATCCACCTCTACCTTCATTTGATCTTGTGTTACAAACAAAGCTAGAGTCAGTTGATCAACTCTTAAGGGAAAGGCAGTTAATTAACAAGATTTTGAAGGATAACCTGACAATTGCTCAAAATCGTATGAAGATGCTGACAGAAGGAGGAGTGAAAGAACATTTGAAGTAGGGGAAAAAGTTTTCTTAAAGCTACAACCTTACCGACAAATGTCAGTAGCAATTCGAAGAAACTTGAAGTTAGCAGTCAAATTTTATGGGCCATTCGAGATAATTCGCAGAATAGGACAAGTGGCTTATGAGCTTCAGCTACCAGCAGGTTCAAAAATACACCCAATTTTTCATGTGTCTCAGTTGAAGAAAGTGGTGGGTGGTCAAGTAGCAGTGTCGAAGGAGCCCACCGCATTGTACTGATAAAGGGCAGATCTTAACAGAGCCGTTTGCAATTTTGGAATGACGCATGGTAAAGAAGGGGAACAAGGCTGCTGTTCAAGTTCTAGCTCAATGGGCAAATTTGTCTAAGGAAGAGGCAACCTAGGAAGATTACTACTTTCTGAAGTCCCAATTTCCTGATTGATCCCTAAAGTAGAAGCTTCACTGGAAGAGGGATGGAATGTTACGATTTGGTCATGACTTGGATGAGTAATTAGGAAAATCAATGCTAATTAGAAAAGTAGGTGTTTGTGTCGTTTATGTTACTTAGTAGGGGATACTTAAAAGTCCTTTTAAGTTTAGTCATTTTTCCCTCCTTAATCCTATGAATAGCTAATTAAGGATATGTGTCCAGGTAGTACAGTTTGTTAGCATTTGCTGAGCATTTGACAGTTGTTTCCTAGTATTTTCTATATGTACCTAGTCAATCTTGAAAGAAAGATATGCAAAATTGAAATCCAAATTTTATCTTTTCCTTCTTAGCATTTTTATCCTTTCTTTCCTTCTCTCGATATTTTTTAGAGCTGTGTTTAATCAAACCAGTGGCAGAACGCTACACTCTTCTCCAAAATCTTGAATTTTGGAGATGTGTTTGCGATCCACAAGGGCTTATTCACTTCAAGTATAGCATGGGAAGCAAAAATGCTACTTTTCTCACTTCTCTCAATAGTCAAAATCTTGGAGTTATTATGATTCCTAATACAATATTCGCTTCAGATCCGTCTATTCTCGACGATGTTCTTGCAAAAGGTTTCCAGCTTGATAAGAAAGTGATCAAACAACTCCGAAAGATTCTCCAGTTTTAACACTATTTGTTGTATTTTGTTTCTCTTACTCAATCATTATCCGTAGTAGATTCTTGCAAATGGAATATGATAGGTTATATGTGTATCCCTGTTATATTTTGATGATCTAATAAACTTAATGTTAAGAACTAGATAAGGAACCTGATATATATTCTCAAGAACTTAAAGATCAACAAGTCTCCAGTTGGGGATACTATTCAACTCTTCAGAGTCAAAGGAACAATAGAGGGAACAAATAGCTACCAGTTCCCGAGGAAACTGTACAAGTCAATTGCTCTAGCTGTAAAGTTCTGCTTGCACACTCTATAGTACAGAAACAGTGCAGCAGTCAACTTTAGGGGGAACGCCCTTTACCTAACTTGCTTATATCATTCAAAGTGATGTAACAAATGAATTATTATCATCAATCAAGGTAAAAACAAATTACTTGTACATTCAAGATTTGATCAAGCATTCTCTCAAGTCATCCATCAATCTTGCAAGTGACTCTCTAGGACATCAAGAACAAAGAACAACATAGAAACGGACCAGTTCTCCGTATTGAGTTATTATATGTCCTTAGTTGCGTTATACCTTTGTTGAAATTCTTTACTTGCAATTCCTACTTAGGTTAGTTAGAAGCATTGCGTAGGAAACCCTTTGTAAATCATAAACCCTTGTGTTTGTATCTTGGCTAGAGTTAGTCGAGTTGTAAAGTCTTTGTAATAAAGTTATTACAAAGTGGATTGTAATAGAGTGTTACAAATTAGTGAGGGATTAAGAAGTTAATTCTTAGATTACAATAGGTTGTAATCTAAAGTTGCTCAATAGTAAAGTTGAAATCCTACAAGGGTAGGTCGTGGTTTTTATTCCCGTGAGTTGGGAATTTTCAACGTAAAATTCCTCTGTGTCATTTGCTTACTGCAGTGTGCGTGTGTATTATGGAAATTAATAGAGAATCTGGTTCTGTATATAATTTGGTGGACCCTTAAATTCTATAAATTGGTATCAGAGCGGGTTCTTTCTATCAGGCTAACACCTAGAAAGGATCCTTATGGCTGCTCCGCCAAACTTTGAAGAAGGTCAGTCTACTTATAGACCACCAAGGTTCAACGACCAATATTATGGGTGGTGGAAGACTAGGATGCACGACTTCATCATGGATAAAGATTCCGAGCTTTGGGATGTCATATGTGATGGACCCTTTGTTCCTACCAAGATCGTTGGTGACCTAGTTGTAACTATTCCCAAAATGAGAAAGGAATTCAATGACGCTGACCGAAGGGCCATAGAAAAGAATTTTCGTGCAAAGAAAATTCTTGTTTGTGGCATTAGTCCCCATGAATATAACAGGGTATCGGTATGCCAATCAGTAAAGGAAATCTAGGAAGCTCTCCAAACAGCTCATGAAAGAACAACACAGGTCAGACAATAAAAGATTGACATGCTTACAACTCAACATGAGCTTTTCAGGATGAAAGATGATGAATTCATCCAAGACATGCATAATCATTTCACCTCTATCATCAATGAGCTTCACTCTCTTGGAGAAATCATTCCAAGAAACAAACTTGTCAGGAAAATACTCAGTGTCCTGCCCCATGGGAAAGAAAAGTGAACTCTATCACAGAGGAAAAGGACTTGCAGGAGCTAACCATTGATGAGCTTGTTGGTAATCTAAAAACCTATGAAATGAAGAAGAAGAAGGATAATGAGAGAAGAGAGCTCAAAAGGGAGAAGAACCTGGTCCTCAAGACGAACATCAATGATTCTAGTGGTGAGAATGCTGATATGGCTTACTGAAAAAACGTTTCTAGAAGATGGTTTGCAGGAATGGAGGCATTCCAAAAAGGGGGAGCTCCAACAAGCCAAAAGGTTATGACCTATATCATAAGTGCAGTAAGCCTGGACACTTCATCAAGGATTTCCCTCTCCTAAAGTAAGATCAGTACAAAAATAACATTGACAAAGCAGCCAAGAAGAACTCGGTTCCTGATAAATGCTTCAAGAGGAAAAATACTGCTAAAAATATTGTGAAACAAGCTCTTGCTGCATGGGAAAACTCTTTCAGCGAGTCTGAAGAAGAAGATGATCAAGGTAACAGCTCCATGATGAAAGTGGAAAATGAAGCAGCTAAGTGACTCCATTTTTTCCTTGATGGCACAATCTGATGATGATGGAGATGACGACAATGATGATGAGGTAAACTTTCTAGATGCTCAAAGAAATCTAAAGTCTTATTCTTCGAAAAAACTTATGTCTTTGGCAAATGTTTTAATTGATGCTTATTACAATCTTATAAATGATAAAGATACATTAACTGTGGAACTAGGAGAAGCAGAACAGTCTAAAGATGATCTAATAATCGTTGGGGTTGATTTAAAGGAAACAAGTGAGAGTGGAGAAAGAAAAAGATGCCTTAGCTAAAAAAATTGCAAACATTAAACATGATAGAGATGATCTAGTGGTTGTTGTGGTCGATCAAAAAGAGACCATTGAGTGTGTTAAAAAAAAGAAAAAAGTTTTAATTGAGAAAGTTTCTAACATTGAGCATGACCGAGATGATCTATTAGTAGTGGTGGTAAACCTAAAGGAAAAAATTGAGGAACTTAAAATGGAGAATAGACCAAAGAAAAATCAAAAGGGAAAGGAAGTTTGAAGTGAGGCACTTCTTAAGCTTGAAAATGAGTTAAAATCAGTGAAATCTAGTTTGTGTGCTGAGCTTGAGAAAAACAAACAACTTTAGGAAGAACTAGGAAGATTCAAGAGTGATCTTAAAAAATCACTAAAGTGGACCTGTGTAATGACCCGGCCGGCCGTTTTAGGAATTAACGCCCCGATCCCCTATTAACTGTATTCCCCGTGTTTGTTTTTGCTATTGTGAGTTTTCGGGAGGATTTATTTGGAGTTTCGGAGAGTTTTAGGGCACTTAGTCCATAAATGAGAGTTTACGTTGTAAAATTTGGGTGGTAGTCAGAGCAGTATGAAGATGACCTCGGAATGGAATTTCAACGATTCCGCTAGCTCCGTTGGGTGATTTCAGGCTTAGGAGCATATTCGGATTATGTTTGTTGATACCCAATTTTTCCCTATATATTTTCAAAGTGACATATATGCACGTATATAAGCACCCCGAAGGGTTTGGCATTTTTAATGATTTTTAAACCAATTTATTGCCTATTTTTAGCAGTACAAAATCCAATAATTATTCCCAAAATTATCATTTTTGGTGAATAATTTATTTCCATCCTCGTATTTACACCAAAATATAATTTACATGATTTTTTGCATAATTTTACAAGTCCATTTGATATTTTTAAACTAAATTGCATATAATTGCAATTTTAGCCCATTTTCAGATTTGATAGCATTTTTTATTACAAAATCAATCCTAATATTTTTAAAATTAATATTAAATATTATTTATTAACTCAGTGTTTTTAATTTGATTTTAAACATCTTTCACTATTTTTTTTATAAAATCAAAAGGGAAAAACTAGCTATTTTAATTATGGCCTCAATTACTTTCAATCATAGCCTATTTGGGCATCCCAATTCTGATCCCAAGTCCAGCCCAAATCGACGACTCAATTCCATTTTTTACCAGGCCCCTAACCCATTACTTAAACCCACCCGGATTTCTTTTAATCTAGGTCGTTGATCTCTGTGATCAACGACCACAAACTATCCTTATCTTTTTTAATTCCCAAACCACCCTAACCCTATCTCATTTTACAAAATCCGCTGCCCTCAAACTCACTCGTCTCTCAGACTCTTTCTAACACTCAAAACCCTAGCCCTCATCCCGCTGGTTTCCACCTTGTTTCACCGGAATCAATGGCACCCCAAGCCCCGAGTAACCTATACTCACCTCCATGTGTCCTTATACCCCTGTTACTTGAAGATTCAAGGTCTGACCTTGAAGGCTCATGCTCAGACCTCCGCCGATTCGAGTTCTGCGACCATCTCCGGTTTGGCTCCGGCGTATCCTAGCCCTATGAGTCCATCCCTGACTCATTCGACTCAAAGCGGACCCTTTTCCAGGCCTTTCTCACTTCTAGGTTCTTTTGAAATCCTAGCCTTTCGAGGTTTTCCTATTTTCTCTAGATCTGCTCCAGATCTGTGTTTATTTTAGGGTTTTCAAACGATTTCTTAAGTCCCTCTCAAAGCCTTGCTTTCAAAAACTGTTCATCTTCTCCGACTTAGGTTTTCTTTGATTTTA